GATCTTCATCCCAAATTTTTAAAAATAATATATTACTGACATGCCACACATGAACTGACATGTTACTGGTTAATCGGAATTTTTTTCAACTGATACTCATGTCCCTGTCTTTGTTTTTCAGCTATAGATAGAAGTTTCAAATAAAATTTTGGAAAAGAAAAAGCATGGCTTCCAACATGGTGAACCCTGCTAACCATTTGCCATACTTCTTTGGCAATATTACACGTGAAGAAGCTGAGGAGTATCTGATGCAAGGAGGAGTGAGTGATGGGCTATACTTGCTGCGCCAAAGCCGGAATTACTTGGGGGGTTTTGCTTTATCCTTGGCCTATGGAAGGAAGGTTCATCATTATACAATTGAGAGGGAGCTGAGTGGCTCATATGCTATTGCAGGAGGCAAGTCTCATGCCTATTAACTATCACTCAGAGGAAGCAGATGGCCTTATATGTCTCCTGAGAAGACCTTTCAACCGACCACCAGGTGTTGAACCCAAAACAGGACCCTTTGAAGATTTAAAAGAGAACCTCATCAGAGAGTATGTCAAACAAACTTGGAATTTGCAGGTAAATCCAAACTGATTTTGCTATTAAGTGGTCTTTGAGTTAGGAGAAAAAGAAAGATAGCAGTATCTGTTGCTGTGTAGTTTGTTTTCATGATGGAATCACATGTTTTGAACAGTGGGTTTTTTTGCCCAACCCATACTTGCAGTGACTTGGCTGTGAGTCTGGTTTTACGAAACTTAGGACTTTCACAATGTCTTGGGCTAGCATAGCCTTATCGACCATTGCACTAACCTGTATCATCATGTTTCCACATGCACCAAAAATTAATTGATGTAATGAACAAGATACAGAAATGCTTTGTGTGATTCCTTTTGGTTCTGAACTTTTATGGATTGATGTGCAGGCAGGCATGGCAACATGGTGACTTATTTTACATTCTTCCCTCATAGCTGGGCTTGTTTCTGTGATGCTTATTTATATTATACCATACCAATTTGGTTTCTTAGCTGCTGAGCACTGCCTGTAAATCTTGGGTATTGCATACATATTGTTCCATGCTGACAAAAAGAGGCCAGGTTTTTTCTCTAGGATGACTGGTGGAAGCACTGGTGTATAGGAGGCTGTAACAGGAATATTAATTCACCTTGGGGTGCCATTGTGAACTCATAGAGTTTTTCATCTATTTTGGTACTAGCATGTAACCCTGTATGTTCTGCTCTGTAAAATATGTAGACCAGTGCCCAGACTGGAAAAGCCTAAAACTTAGATTACATTTTCTACAAGTATCACAGAATTGCAGGATGTTAGGGGTTGGAAGGGACCTCAAAGATCATCTAGTCTGACCTCCCTTCCAGAGCAGGATCACCTAGAATATATCACCCAGGAACACGTCCAGGCGGGTGTTGAATGTCTCCAAAGAAGGAGACTCCACAACCCCCCTTGGCAGCCTGTTCCAGTGCTCTGTCACCCTCACCATGAAAAAGTTTTATCTAATATTTTTATGGAACCTCCTATGTTCCAACTTGTACCCATTGCCCCTTGTCCTGTTACTGGACATCACTGAAAACAGCCTGGCTCCATCCTCCTGACACTCCACCTTGACATATTTATAGATATTTATGAGGTCACCTCTCAGCTTTCTCTTGTCCAAGCTAAAGAAGCCCAGCTCCTTCAGCCTTTCCTCATAAGGGAGATGTTCCACTTCCTTAATCATCTTGGTGGCTCTGTGCTGGACTTTCTCAAGCAGTTGCCTGTCTCTCTTGAGCTGAGGGGCCCAGAACTGGACACCATATTCCAGATGTGGCCTCACCAGGGCAGAGTAGAGGGGCAGGAGGACCTCTCTTGACCTACTTGCTACTCCCCTTATAATATACCCTAGGATGCCATTGTCCTTCTTGGCCACGAGGGCACACTGCTGGCTCATGGTCATCCTGCTGTCCACTAGAACCCCCTGTCCCTTTCTCCTACACTGTCCCCAACCTATACTGGTACATAGGGTTATTCTTTCCCAAGTGCAAAACTCGACACTTGCCCTTGTTGAACTTCATAAGATTTCTCCCCGCCCAGCTCTCCAGCCTGTCCAGGTCTCTCTGAATGGCAGCACAGCCTTCTG